CTGTGCCTCATTCCCCCCTCGTGCTCTTCTATCACCCCCTCCCCTGTGCCTCATTCCCCCCTCGTGCTCTTCTATCACCCCCTCCCCTGTGCCTCATTCCCCCCTCGTGCTCTTCTATCACCCCCTCCCCTGTGCCTCATTCCCCCCTCGTGCTCTTCTATCACCCCCTCCCCTGTGCCTCATTCCCCCCTCGTGCTCTTCTATCACCCCCTCCCCTGTGCCTCATTCCCCCCTCGTGCTCTTCTATCACCCCCTCCCCTGTGCCTCATTCCCCCCTCGTGCTCTTCTATCACCCCCTCCCCTGTGCCTCATTCCCCCCTCGTGCTCTTCTATCACCCCCTCCCCTGTGCCTCATTCCCCCCTCGTGCTCTTCTATCACCCCCTCCCCTGTGCCTCATTCCCCCCTCGTGCTCTTCTATCACCCCCTCCCCTGTGCCTCATTCCCCCCTCGTGCTCTTCTATCACCCCCTCCCCTGTGCCTCATTCCCCCCTCGTGCTCTTCTATCACCCCCTCCCCTGTGCCTCATTCCCCCCTCGTGCTCTTCTATCACCCCCTCCCCTGTGCCTCATTCCCCCCTCGTGCTCTTCTATCACCCCCTCCCCTGTGCCTCATTCCCCCCTCGTGCTCTTCTATCACCCCCTCCCCTGTGCCTCATTCCCCCCTCGTGCTCTTCTATCACCCCCTCCCCTGTGCCTCATTCCCCCCTCGTGCTCTTCTATCACCCCCTCCCCTGTGCCTCATTCCCCCCTCGTGCTCTTCTATCACCCCCTCCCCTGTGCCTCATTCCCCCCTCGTGCTCTTCTATCACCCCCTCCCCTGTGCCTCATTCCCCCCTCGTGCTCTTCTATCACCCCCTCCCCTGTGCCTCATTCCCCCCTCGTGCTCTTCTATCACCCCCTCCCCTGTGCCTCATTCCCCCCTCGTGCTCTTCTATCACCCCCTCCCCTGTGCCTCATTCCCCCCTCGTGCTCTTCTATCACCCCCTCCCCTGTGCCTCATTCCCCCCTCGTGCTCTTCTATCACCCCCTCCCCTGTGCCTCATTCCCCCCTCGTGCTCTTCTATCACCCCCTCCCCTGTGCCTCATTCCCCCCTCGTGCTCTTCTATCACCCCCTCCCCTGTGCCTCATTCCCCCCTCGTGCTCTTCTATCACCCCCTCCCCTGTGCCTCATTCCCCCCTCGTGCTCTTCTATCACCCCCTCCCCTGTGCCTCATTCCCCCCTCGTGCTCTTCTATCACCCCCTCCCCTGTGCCTCATTCCCCCCTCGTGCTCTTCTATCACCCCCTCCCCTGTGCCTCATTCCCCCCTCGTGCTCTTCTATCACCCCCTCCCCTGTGCCTCATTCCCCCCTCGTGCTCTTCTATCACCCCCTCCCCTGTGCCTCATTCCCCCCTCGTGCTCTTCTATCACCCCCTCCCCTGTGCCTCATTCCCCCCTCGTGCTCTTCTATCACCCCCTCCCCTGTGCCTCATTCCCCCCTCGTGCTCTTCTATCACCCCCTCCCCTGTGCCTCATTCCCCCCTCGTGCTCTTCTATCACCCCCTCCCCTGTGCCTCATTCCCCCCTCGTGCTCTTCTATCACCCCCTCCCCTGTGCCTCATTCCCCCCTCGTGCTCTTCTATCACCCCCTCCCCTGTGCCTCATTCCCCCCTCGTGCTCTTCTATCACCCCCTCCCCTGTGCCTCATTCCCCCCTCGTGCTCTTCTATCACCCCCTCCCCTGTGCCTCATTCCCCCCTCGTGCTCTTCTATCACCCCCTCCCCTGTGCCTCATTCCCCCCTCGTGCTCTTCTATCACCCCCTCCCCTGTGCCTCATTCCCCCCTCGTGCTCTTCTATCACCCCCTCCCCTGTGCCTCATTCCCCCCTCGTGCTCTTCTATCACCCCCTCCCCTGTGCCTCATTCCCCCCTCGTGCTCTTCTATCACCCCCTCCCCTGTGCCTCATTCCCCCCTCGTGCTCTTCTATCACCCCCTCCCCTGTGCCTCATTCCCCCCTCGTGCTCTTCTATCACCCCCTCCCCTGTGCCTCATTCCCCCCTCGTGCTCTTCTATCACCCCCTCCCCTGTGCCTCATTCCCCCCTCGTGCTCTTCTATCACCCCCTCCCCTGTGCCTCATTCCCCCCTCGTGCTCTTCTATCACCCCCTCCCCTGTGCCTCATTCCCCCCTCGTGCTCTTCTATCACCCCCTCCCCTGTGCCTCATTCCCCCCTCGTGCTCTTCTATCACCCCCTCCCCTGTGCCTCATTCCCCCCTCGTGCTCTTCTATCACCCCCTCCCCTGTGCCTCATTCCCCCCTCGTGCTCTTCTATCACCCCCTCCCCTGTGCCTCATTCCCCCCTCGTGCTCTTCTATCACCCCCTCCCCTGTGCCTCATTCCCCCCTCGTGCTCTTCTATCACCCCCTCCCCTGTGCCTCATTCCCCCCTCGTGCTCTTCTATCACCCCCTCCCCTGTGCCTCATTCCCCCCTCGTGCTCTTCTATCACCCCCTCCCCTGTGCCTCATTCCCCCCTCGTGCTCTTCTATCACCCCCTCCCCTGTGCCTCATTCCCCCCTCGTGCTCTTCTATCACCCCCTCCCCTGTGCCTCATTCCCCCCTCGTGCTCTTCTATCACCCCCTCCCCTGTGCCTCATTCCCCCCTCGTGCTCTTCTATCACCCCCTCCCCTGTGCCTCATTCCCCCCTCGTGCTCTTCTATCACCCCCTCCCCTGTGCCTCATTCCCCCCTCGTGCTCTTCTATCACCCCCTCCCCTGTGCCTCATTCCCCCCTCGTGCTCTTCTATCACCCCCTCCCCTGTGCCTCATTCCCCCCTCGTGCTCTTCTATCACCCCCTCCCCTGTGCCTCATTCCCCCCTCGTGCTCTTCTATCACCCCCTCCCCTGTGCCTCATTCCCCCCTCGTGCTCTTCTATCACCCCCTCCCCTGTGCCTCATTCCCCCCTCGTGCTCTTCTATCACCCCCTCCCCTTGGTTTCTATGCCTTGTACATCTTCAGATGGAGTTGTTGGGTGATGACATCATCGGACACATCATGTGATGACACGTGGCCACGCCCCCGTATAATGTGGGAGTCACAGGGGAAGGACACTGTCAGTGATTGGGAATTGATGGACCTGATGAGAAGGGAGATTGTCCTGGCACAGTTCCTCAGTCCTGTCCTTTAAGAAGCCGATTCATCTGTCATGAGGTCACTCCACCATGTGACTCCATAAGCCAATCACATCCAGACTGAGAGAGTGTCCGGTACTGACCCATTATTAGTCCTCAAGGTGAACTCTCCACCGCAGGACTCTCCTCGACCCTGACAGGGCAGGAAATGTCTGTGCCATCCATGGACGCCGCCTGTGCCAGTCCTGAAAGTTCAAGAGTACCCGTCACCATCACACAACAGTATATAAAGCCCCAAATATCATGTCCCTGTGACATCATCACAACAGCAACACCCACTACACTAGTCACATGACATCAGAATGGCACCGCCTGTCACTACACTGGCTGAGTGATCACATGACATCAGAATGGCACCGGCTGTCACTACACTGGCTGAGTGATCACATGACATCAGAATGGCACCGCCTGTCACTACACTGGCTGAGTGATCACATGACATCAGAATGGCACCGGCTGTCACTACACTGGCTGAGTGATCACATGACATCAGAATGGCACCGGCTGTCACTACACTGGCTGAGTGATCACATGACATCAGAATGGCACCGGCTGTCACTACACTGGCTGAGTGATCACATGACATCAGAAAATACTGTGTGTATGAGCGTGTGGTAAAGAGGACCTGTCATGTGCTTTGAACCCCCTATGTAGCACCGTACAGGTCAGCGGTGTCACCACTGACAGGCTGAAGCAATCTCTGTACCGGACGGACCTGAGACCTCGGGGTGGTCAGCGCTCAATGTCGGGACGTCGTACAATCCGAGGCGACTCAGGGACGTGCATTGCTGCTGCTCCTCCTCCACTGCGGCCGCCGTGCGTTCTGTAGGACAGCAGAGAGATAAATCATCATACATGCAGTCCATGTATTCTTATCATACATCCAGAGCCGGGGGGTGACACATTGAATGTAGCGTGTACTCTGCGCACACGTTCATTGATGATCTCGGGGGGGGGGGGGGG